ATGAAGACTAGTTATGTAATTTCCTCCTCTCACCAAATCAGTTCCTTGCATAACTCTCTAATTTCTCATGGCAATAATATCATTTTCTGAACCATCTAGGCTCATAATGTCTGACTCATCTCTCTTTGTTTAATTCACTTTCCTTTTCCCCAGACTCAAGCCAAGGTGAAGGAATGGAGCAGGGAGTGATGAGGGCCAGGGTGACTGACATCACTGAGAAATGTCCTCTTAGAAAAAGGAAGAAGATGACATGGGAGATGTATTGAGCAAAGGAGGGGGAAAGATTAGGATCGGAAGGACCCTCTGGGAGACAGTTGCAGACCTCAAGAAGTGAGCCCGGCCGGAGAGGTGGGGAGGGAAACAAAACCGTGGTATCTGGGTGTTGCAAAACAGTCTAACTTCAAAAACGTATCTGAAGCAGGGTAAGAATATACTTCTCTACAGATTGAACTCAAAATCAAATGAGGCAGGCTGTAAAGAAGAAAGGTTGGGAATACAAAGGAATAAAAACATAGGAATGTTAGTTCAAGACCATCTGGGTCTTACCAGTTACATTATGTATCTACAAATGACCTAACTGCAGATGTGATACCTTGAGATTTTCCTCAATAACAGTAAAGCAGCTTAATGCACGGTGTTCTCGAAACACCAGAGGACAAACAAGACACCAGGAGAATCAGGGGTTGGTTGTGATAATGACTTATACAGAAGGGTCTTCTCTATGCCCCAGGAACGGGGCATGAAGGAGACCGCAACAGACTTTCTGATGGAGGCGACTCTGGCAGTTTTCCTGTGTTAAGTCTTCCCAATGTTAGCCTTAGAAGTCAGAGATGAACCCTGACACCTCCGGATAATCCATTCCAGAAGGACACTGACAAATCCCTGCTTCTGTCTGTCACCTCCTGGGGTAATGCAATCCATTACTGACCTGTAGGGGGCCTTGACTTTTACCTGGTCTTTCTTTTTTTCCCAGTTTTGGGGAGCTCTCCTGAAATTCTAGTATTCCAGAATTCAGTGAATGTGCACGGCTTAACTTTCTTTACTCTTGCAATTTTACAGACAAAGTCGTATCTCCAGACTGGAGTATTAATACTTGCACTTGGTGTGCAGGTGGTGGCCCTCAGACCCTCCGAGCAGCAACACTCATCCTCTTAAAATGCTATTACGCATCTGATTGGCAGAACTTAAGGCAGCAATGCACCTGTGGAAATGCCATGCTTTTGTAGAAGAACAAGGCATAAGAATACCTTATAAGGTATAAGGTATATAAGAATCTGGACACAAGAATCTCCAAAGAGTATGCCACCCAGAATATGCCTGGCACAGAGGAGCCCCTCTCCATCACCCGTGAAATGAATGTCTCTTGATTTCGGCCATACAGTGATAAACATAAACACACACACACACACACACACACACACACACACACACGCGCGTGTGTGTGTGTGTGTGTGTGTGTGATATAAAGAGAGACTTTAACATAGAAACAACATAAAGAAAGTAGAAATCTCAACACTTCAGTATTTTTTCCTGTAGGTTGCGTTAGCTCAGGTGCTGTGGAGGAGCTTTTCTTCCACACCCATTCCTGGACCTCATTCCTTTAGCTCTATGATAATCTGCCTCAAATCTAATAACTTAGCAACACTTCTTAACTGGGGCCACTGTGTGTGAGATCTTAGCCTTCCAATCTGTTCCTACCCCTGATACATTCTCCTCCCATCACTTTTCAGCATTTTGGTCGTGATCAGTTTCCCGTCTCATGCACAGTCATCCTTCTGCTGCTCTGATCTCACCTCCTCCTCCCCCCGCACCCACTTCCAACGACTCCTCCAAGTCCACACTGTACGGCTCAGTGTTTGAGACTCAGGGCTGTGGCCTATGAATCTCATGGATTCTCATGGAACCCCTCTGTTCTGGACCAACCTACCTTCTCAGTATGCCCCAAACACACCTTATCTCTTTCCCTTTGTGCCAGTTTCCCAAACCCTATACAACTTTCAGCCTCCAGCTTCCAGACGTCCAAAAGGGCAGCTTCAGGGAAACACAGTGACTCTAGCATTTGCCCCAGATGCTGGAGTGTACAGTTTTGTAAGAGGAGGTCCCCAGAAAGTATGCTAAAGTTACTGAGGTTCTCCAGGTTGAAAGTCATGAAAGAGAGGCACTCACAACTGGCCGGTGTTGCCTGCCTTTGTCTTTTTGGCCCTGCCACGCGCTCTCCGGCTCATAGACATTTTGTCGGTATAGCCACAGTAATTAACTGATTTTTTCTACTGAACAAAGTCGCTTTAAAAAAATGTCTCACGAGCTAGAGTTACTGAGTTCCACAAACTGGTGTGAACAAACAATTCCGCACGTGGCCAGACCTGTTTGGTCGCACGTGCACACGAGCGGGCTAGTGATGAGCCAGTCAGCCTCACACACTTACAGGAGCAGATTTTCACCTGCTCTTCTCGTGAAGCCACATGGCTTACGTCTCATCCATCATGTGACACGAAACAACTTTTCTTCAATTTCATGAAAGAGAGGGATCGTCCAAGTCAGGGGGCCTCCAAACACACACACACACCACACACACATACCCCACACGGAGTGACACTGTACAGCTGATGCAAATGGGGCTTGGTGACCACGGTGGGAGCCCATTCTCAGGCAGCGGCCATTCCTCCTGCTGGACTGTGCCCCAGGCAGAAGCCTCAGGCACGTAAAGGCTGCCCAAGCCAGATCCTCGGCAGCTTCAGAGCAAGCCTGGAGACCAGGACAGTGCCTGGTGAGTGGTGGCAGGCAGGGAGGAAGAAGTTACTGCAGTGTCCCTTGTCACATCCCCTAGAGGGGTAAACGGATGTCAGGAAAGGAAAGGGGCATTTAACCCAGTGAGTCAGTTTGCACTTAAGGATGTTGAATGGGGGGAAAAGGGAGGAAAGAGAGGAACATGGGGAATAGGACTGTACTTACGGCTATACCAGATGTCCTAGCTCTGGACTGGATGTATTTTAGGTCACAATAATACTCAATGTTCCTTTATACCAAATGACCTTACTTCTACATATGATATGTTTTATTATAAATATATAAATAAATGTAAATATAAAAATAAATAAAATACATATATAAAAATAAAGTTATATTTATTTTATTTTTATATGTATTTTATTACATATTATAATGTAAATTATAACATATATTTACATATATATTTTTATATATGTATATAAATGGGTTGGAAAGAGCTCTTTTAAGATTTTATTTATTTTTCAGAGAGAGAGAGAGAGCATAAGCAGGGGGAGCAGCAGGCAGAGGGAGAAGCAGGCTTCCCGCTGAGCCAGGATCCTGATGCGGGACTCAATCCCAGGACCCTACGACCATGACCTGAGCCGAAGACAGCTGCTTAACCAACTGAGCCACCCAGGCATCCCTGGAAAGAGTTTTTTTAATCAGACAAGAATTTTAAAAGCTGCTGCATAAAAATGAAAAAGAATGAACACCCCAATGGAAGAACAGTTCAGAATCTGAGGTATAATCTTATCGTAGAATATTATGCAGTCACTAAAAAATGTAAAATGAATCTACAAGGGGTTCTTACTGTGTATTGTTACATGAGAACACAGAAGTGCATAGAATATCCCATTTTTGAAAACCTATGATTGCACTAAAAGGTGCTGAGCACACCAGCGCGAACAATGTGGGCTAACTGGTTAGAACAGAAGAAATGAGGAAGGAAGAGAATAATGGAAAATAAGCAAAACAACTAGTAAAAATAAGACGGTCCATAATAAAAATCAAGAATTATATAAAATTATGCATATGTAAGTATATATTTGCATGAAAATGCAATGGAAGAATGGTTATAAAAATGTTGGAGGTGTGCTATCTCGGGGTAAAAATATTTCAGGGGATTTTACATTCTTCCTTGTACTTTTTTGCATTTTAGTAAGTAAAAATAATAATTATATAACCAAAATAACAATTTTCATTGAGGAACAATTTTGAGTAACTCACTACCACTGGCAGCATGACAATTTCTAAGTCTTCATAGACACAAGATGGCATATCCAGTAGAATTTTGAATCATTCACAACTAAAAGGGGTTTTCCCAATCTTTTTTTCAAAATGGAGACAGACCACAAAGTCCAAAATTAATGATCATCATAAACACTTTAAGCATCTTTAAGGCAGGTCTTAAATCTAATTTTTAACACACTCTCCCAAAGTCTCCAAGCACTCTGAGTGCTCAATCAATCCTCATTAATTGACAAGCACATTTCAAATCTCATGAATTATTACATCAAAGATGATATTATCTGACATACAAATGCTATTAAAAAGTAAAATCTCATCTAAAAATGAATATGAGAGCTGAGGCAGCTCCAGTGAAAACAGTTTAACTATGAAATTTAATCTGCCACAAAAGAAGTAATAAAAGTAACACAGAACACATTTTGTTCATCTTGCCCCTGGTCATATTAAATGTATCTAGTTTTGCTACCTTCATTACTGTAGTCTCAGGCCTGAAGGTCATCTACACAGCCCCCAACTACCGTCCACTCAATATCATTAACTTCTACTTTTTATGGCAGATACAAGATTCATGACATCAGCTACCCATCCTCATGAACGATATCCAGTCTTTGAAACTCTAAAGATTAAAATCCTGCCTGTTAAAATTCTGATGATAGCATGAAATCATTTTGAAGAGAGATGCTCTCCTTTTATTCTCCTAGGCCTGCTTCCCTTGCAGAGTAGCAGAAATGGATGTCGAAGCTGTGCAGAGAGATGCTTGGTGAACAGCCATGAAATAGCCTTTCCAGGGGAAACACACATGGGGTGTGTGTGGGGCAATGGCTGCTTCTCTCGATCCCTAATGCCAGGTACCCCCCACCTGGCTGTAGGTAACAGCCCACCTAGCCCACCTGTTCCCTGTTACAGCCATCTGGCAGGTAATGGGTACAAGGGAACATGAAAACCCATTTTATACATACAACCTTTTCAATTAAAATACTTACTTGGACTAGTAAGTGGCCTGAGTTAGGCAAGCAGGTGCCACATTTCTTGGTGTCGTCGTTTATCTGCTTGATCAAATTCATCAATATTTCCACAGCACCTTTGCTGATCATTTCATTGAGAAATCGTGGATTTCCAGAAATGAACTTGATAGCCCCCATACAGTATAGGAAAGCTTCCATGTTCGTCTGTAGCTCCTCACTTCTCAGGACCTCCAATAATGATTCTGCCAAAAAGATGAATTATTACAAATGTGTAACAACTGGAGAGAGATTATTTTAAAGCACTTGTGTGTGACCGTCAAACACAATTTGTAAAATGTTGGTCAGTATTACATTCAAATGCTTGTTAAGTGTTATTCTTGTGGGATGAAGAGGTAAGCTTATCTGCAGCAGAGACAAATCTCTGTAATCATAATGACAGCAAAAGGATGGGAATATTAATATATAAATAAGAACACGTCCTTTTAATCAAAATGCCATTTCTTGCCTCTTACTAATATTTACCAACCTTTATTTTTAGTTACAAGAAAGTTGAGTTATTATAGAATAATTGATAGTTGAGACAATTTGGAGTGAAATTTCTTTTTTTTTCCTTTTTCTTTTTAAAAGATTTTATTTATTTATTTGAGAGAGGGAGCAAGCAAGAACGAGCAGGGTGAAAGGCAGTGGGAGAAGCAGTTTCCCTGCTGAGTAGGAAGCCCAACATGGGACTTGATCCCAGGACCCTGGGATCATGACCTGAACAGAAGGCAGGTGCTTAACCGACTGAGCCACCTGGGTGCCCAAGAGTTAAATTCCAACAAACTTTTGAGGACATACTGGTTGCCCTATGAATGGGAAATTAATCAAGACAGGGTCTTTTAAGAAATCTCAATCACCACAGAAAGGGATACTTTGAAGATAACATCCACCTGGTTCCGGAGACAACTTAAGAACATCCATCCGAATAGCTACAACTACTAGATTTTAGGGGGAACCCAGGCAATTCTGATAAGGTTAATCATGTCTCTTTCCCATTTAATTTTATTAATGTCAGTGTGATCATTTGTCAGAATCTTTCTTTGTCCCTGTCTGCTGGGGTCAAAAAAAGAGATCATTCATCCTAGGTCACAAAAGAAAAATTAAAAAAAAAAAAAAGAATTCAGGGCATTTTCCTTGTTGCTGCCTTGCCTTAGATCAGCAATGCAAATTCATAAAAGATTTCTATTGATGTAACTATTTAAGCATCTTAATTATTTAAGGGTGTACCAAGACTTAAACAGTATTAGTTAGGAAGGCAGCATGTAATCAAATTTCTCTATATATCTGAAATACATTTGAGACACTCTGATGTCAAACGTCTACACAGCCGTCTTCCAGTTTGTCTTCCAAGTTTGAGCCATTCCTACTCCATCAAAATCCCCCAAATTTCAATTATGTCAAATACCATTATATGTATTTTGTTTGATAATCGATCTGAGACCAGGAAATGGATTTTTAAGTAGGGAACACTTGCTAAAGTCACATAATGTTACTACAGGCATTTAAAACAAACAGCTAGGGGTGCCTGGGTGGCTCAGTGGATTAAACCCTCTGCCTTCAGCTCGGGTCATGATCCCAGGGTCCTGGGATCAAGTCCCGAATCGGGCTTTCTGCTCAGCAGGGAGCCTACTTCCCCCTCTCTCTCTGCCTGCCTCTCTGCCTACTTGTGATCTCTGTCAAATAAATAAATAAAATCTTTAAATAAAAATAAAAAAGTAAAACAAACAGCCAACAATCCTTCTTGGCTCCAAAGATACACATTAAACAGAATGTGGAAAACACAGAGAAGGACAGAGCAAAACTAAGCATCACATAACTTCTGGATATTAGGAGAAAATTAAATATTCTAGCCACCATTAATGACAACTTCACTCCCAAAACTTCTCACTCATACTCAAGGGCCACATGCACTGAATGATACTCACCAAGAATGCTGTCATTCTCAATCAGAGAGTCATTCTTCTCACTCCTGCTAATTTTAAATATAAGTTTGCAGACATTAAGAAGATTCTTTCTACTCACTTTAAGCTGCAGAGAAAGAAAACACGTTTTTATTGCAGAGGGAAATAAAGATGTGCCATCATTTTTTATCACAAATACCTATTTTAAAAGTGCTCCAGGGTATTTTTTAAAACATAAAGAAGGGGCGCCTGGGTGGCTCAGTGGGTTAAAGCCTCTGCCTTCGGCTCCGGTCATGATCCCAGGGTCTTGGGATCGAGTCCTGCATTGGGCTCTCTGCTTGGCGGGGAGCCTGCTTCCTCCTCTCTCTCTGCCTGCCTCTCTGCCTACTTGTGATCTCTGTCTGTCAAATAAATAAACAAAATCTTAAAAAAAAAAAAAACATAAAGAACAAATCTAAGGTTAGGCTCAGCATTTGCCATCTATAGTATTTCATTAAATCATGGTAAATACAGTATAAATGATCTTTGGGGTATGCACACTTCACTGATAAGCATTTATTTCTTACTTCATAAAGTCTTATCCTTATATATGAGATTATTAGTTACTTTCTAAAGAGTATATGAGGATAAAAGGAGGGAGGATGTTGACAAGTTTAATTAAGCTGTGTAATTGCTCTAACACACAAGAGTAAAGGAAGACAGATACCAACATTTTAGATTTAGTAGATTTAGGTAGATTAGATTTAGTAGGGCTGAAGGAAAGAAAGAAAAGGGGGAAGGTATGATTCTCTTTATTATTTGTATAAAAATAACCCCCCAAATTAATTTTTTATTAGATAATACATATATATTTATTTTTCAGACTATATCTGGAATGCTTTGAAATAATGGCAAATAGTGTTCAAAATTTAAAATTGCCTTCTAAATCAGACAAAAATAGTCAAGTACATTAAACACAGGGACAATAAGGAAGCATACTTTTAAAAAAAAGACACAGTAGAGGGGGGCTAACTACATCAAAGAGTCTCAATTCGCTGTATTATTTATCTAAAGTAGTAAAAATTAAAAATTAAAAATATCCTCAGTGTTCATTATTAGGGAATAATTTAATAAATTGTGGAAAAATACCATTTGTATCAAGCAGTCCCAGAAAGTGTAACTATGAATACCATGTTTTAAAAAAAGACATTTATAACTTATTGTAAGATGGAAATATTATATGCCCTCATTGCAAGAATGTAAAATATGTTTATAGGAATGAGGTCATCTGAACAAATAAGTATATCTTATGGGTCATTGTTTTATCATTAAAAAGCATCTTCAAAATTACCTTCAATATTGTTTATTAATGACTTTCCAGTTAGTTTTTTTAAAAAAAGAATGGAATTTGTTCTTAAAGATTCATTGTGGGGGCACCCCGGGGGCCTCAGTGGGTTAAGGCCTCTGCCTTTGGCTCAGGTCATGATCCCAGGGTCCTGGGATCGAGCCCCGCGTCGGGCTCTCTGCTCAGCAGGGACCCTGCTTCCTCCTCTCTCTCTGCCTGCCTCTCTGCCTACTTGTGATCTTTTTCTGTCAAATAAATAAATAAAATCTTAAAAAAAAAAAAGATTCATTGTGTGTTTGATCCACAAATATTACCGCACTCCTGCTGTGGACCAGGCACAGGGCTGTTCACTGTAGGAGATGCGAGGATGAGCGCCGTCAGCCTGGTGCCAAGGGGCAGAGGGAGGGAAGCTTTACCCACACAGCGGTGTCCATCTGCCTCCCTGCTTTGGGTCCTGGACAGGTTATCTCAGAGCAACCTCACAAACTAGGAGTTCTTTCCGTTTTGCACCTGGGGAGTCTCTGTATTAGAAATGCAGACTCTCGGGCCCAGATAGCTCTGCTGGATCAGAATCTGCATTTTAGCAAACTCCTTGGAGATCAGGGCTTGGGCAAGTCTGAGACTCTCTGTTGGGGAAGCATCGGAAACTGTTACATGTGGCAGGATGGCCACTCCTTCTGTTCTCAGGAGGGAAAAGGAAATGGGAATTAGGGGGAAAAAATGGAATGCTTAAGGGTTTCAAAAAATTATTTAAATCCCAGAAGATGGGGCACCTGGGTGGCTCATTCCTTAAGCATCTTCCTTCAGCTCAGGTCATGATTCCAGGTCCTGGGATTGAGCTCCCCAGAGCATCGTTTCTCTGCACAGTGGGGACTCTCCTTCTCCCTCTCCCACTCCCCCTGCTTGTGTTCCCTCTCTCGCTGTGTTTCTCTCTGTCAAATAAATAAAATCTTTTTTTAAATTTTTTTAAGATTTTATTTATTTATTTGACACAGAGAGAGAGAGATCACGAGTAGGCAGAGAAGCAGGCAGAGAGAGAGGGGGAAGCAGGCTCCCCGCCGAGCAGAGAGCCCAATGCGGAGCTCGATCCCATGACCCTGGGATCATGACCCGAGCCGAAGGCAGAGGCTTAACCCACTGAGCCACCCAGGCACCCCCAAATAAATAAAATTTTAAAAATAAAATAAAATAAAAACCCAGAAGATGAGCTGACTAAAGAGAGTGGAAATAAATTCTTTATCAATGGAAATAGATGTTGTTCTTAATACTTGAGAATATATTTAATCAGTTAACCATCTTTTCTATACTGTGAGCCTGTGTGTGTGTGTGTGTGTGTGTGTGTGTGTGTGTGAAATGTAGCACGTGTTCTGTGCTTAATAAAACGTGTTGAAGAAATGAATGACGACAACTAACCTCAACCTCCACCCAAGTCTTCTATTTTTAGTAAAAAGTGACAAAAGGAAAATGACAACAACTCACGTCCGGGTTTTCATTAAAGATCAAACAAACAAAAACCCGACGATTTCTAAGCCTGCTATAAGGTCAGTTTACATCCAAAGCACATTCCTACACCTTCTCTTTTGGTGACTATAAAATTATGACTCTGAGACATGAAAATATAATAAGATATTAAGTCACATGCAAGGAACATGGACAACCTTACATAGAAGAGCCCTTCCTCGCACCCAGACCATTCCCTGCCCTGTGCTTCACGTTCTGCTCTTAGCAACATGCTGGCCCCAGCTCGCCACCCCCCATCCCTCCCCACCCCACCCCTACCCCCGCCATTTCTCTGCATTTTCACAGCCTCTCCTGCTACATACAGCACCAGGAGGGAAGACAGGGAATTTTATTCACTTGTATTCCCAGCATCAAGAGTCCCTGGCACAGAGTATGTTCTTGTACTGGGGTAGTTTACTTCTTACATTAAAAATAGCAGTCTTTTCTATTCCAAGAAAATTTGGAAAATTAAAGAGAAGTTTAAGAACACTTACACACTACTACTACTATATATAATCACTCTTGACAGACTGGTGGGGTTTCTTTTCTGTTTTCTTGTTACCCCCTACCTAGAGTACTAGATTTTTTCCCCCTCCTGAATATATAGTTGCATTCATTGCATATATGTTTGTACTTAAAAAATTCTTAATACAGACTGATACATTTTGTAAGATCCTTTGACACAAAGTTTAAAATTATATGGCTGTCTGGCAAAACCTCCAACTAACTTAACCAAAAAAAAAAATGCAAGAAAGCAGAAGAACTGATATTATACTCCCTGAATGTTTTTAACTATAAAAAATTTTTTTAAAGATTTAATCTATTTATTTGACAGAGACAGAGAGAGAGAGAGCATAAGCAGGGGGAGCTACAGAGGGAGAGGGAGAAGCAGACTCCCCGCTGAGCAGAGAGCCCGATGTGGGGCTCAATCCCAGGATTCCGGGATCGTTACCTGACCTGAAGGTCAACTGACTGGGCCACCCAAGTGCCCCTAACTATAAATAATTTTAAATGTCTGAACTTTAATACTAAACTGGTAGTACTGGCAGAAACTAGAGAAGATATTAAAAAACATCTTAGTTCCATATATATTTTTTGTTAGTTAGCTTTTCTTTTTTTTTTAACTTTTTATGATATGGTCTTTCTAAAACTTACATAGAATTCCATCACCAAGGCCTATGCAAAACAATGTCTTGTTTGGAACATTAAGGGGAGATTCAGGTAGCAGGTGGGAAGTTGGCCTGGATGACCTTGAACAACCTTCCTGACCTGATTCTGTAGCTAATCAAAAGGGACAGCCTGCCCATGTCTGCACTCTGGAGTGTAGCCCGCTCAGAATCGCCCCTGATTCTGCAAGGCGGTCAACGCCACACAGAGAGCTTTATCTAATCAAACTGAGTTCAGGATGAGATCACTGCCTGGGAGATCACCTAGCCTTTTACCCTAAAATAGTTAAATCGTATCATATATCTAATTAATTTATCATATATCTAATTAACCTTTAATAGCCAAAATTATATTTTCTCGGGAAAGCATTGATGAATTCATGACATTTTCCTTCTCTGTCTTATTTATCTACTTTTTGGCTTGGTAGGAGGCAAAATGTCTGGGATCCAGATGAAAAACCAAAAACAATGGATTGCTCAACAGCTAACAGCTTCGGTCTCTCCAGCGCAGCTATGCTGGTAGAAACTTCCAGCCTCTCACAGGGGCTCTCCTGGGCCTAGGGGGCACCCCAAATCCAGGGCCAGACAGGAAATGGGGCAAGCACGCTGATACCTTTTCACCTTTACCCGGCACCTTTTTTATTCTTTTTCAAGTTTTATTTAAATTCCAGTTAGTTAACGTAAGTCTACCTATAGCTTTTAACTTCAATGATCTCTGTGGCTTCTGCTCTTTTTTGTTTCATTAAAGTTGACCGATCAGTTACCCCCAGTGAGGGGATCAAAATACATCTCAAATCACCATTTCAAAGAAGTATTGCTTTCTGAGTCATATATCATATCACAGTGTTTTAGAAGAGGATAAATAGTTTGTGATGACAGCTAAGTAAAGGTGTAGCTTCTCCCCAAAAATTACATGGAGTATGTAGTCAGGATATTTTGCTTTCATGAAAGACATCAAAATAAGGAACGCTGGGCATTCTTACTGAGCTCTTAGTAAGTATGCCAACACTTACCTTCCCTGTGTACTTTCGGATTTTAAATTATATGAATTATGGGTGTTAACAAAATAGCTTTTACTTTTATGAAACCAGGTAAACAAAGCTTCATTCATTTGTTTTAGCGGCTCTTTTAGAAGGTTCTCTAATAACTCTGTCTTATCTTTTGTTTCCAACCGCTTATGGCTGTGACAACAAAGTGTTCCCCTCAAACAATGGTATCATTTTGTCCGAGACAGAGCTTATCCAGACTTTTATTTGGTGTCTGGCTTTTTCTTCTAACACGTCCCGGGAGCCTTCTGTTCCCGCCTTCCCATGACCACAAGCAGCTGCTTCTCTGTTTCACGCTGGTTCATAAGGCACCTGGCCAGTGTGCCCACGGCCCAGGGTATCCTCGGTTATTTATTAAATCATGGAGCAGAATCAAGGACCCAGCAGAAACCGTAGGGGAGAAACCACAAGCTTGGGTTCCCTGATACCGATCTCCAGTCAAGTTACTTGAGAAACTGTTTTGAATGTGTTTGCCTATTGTCACCTTTTTTTTTTTTTTTAAACCTACCCACAGTCCAAATATAAGAGTTTATTTGAACATTTTCCACGACCTCAGCCTCAGACAGCGTTCCTAGTCAAATTCGGAGATGGCAATTTATTACCCTGATTTTTTTTTCAAGATTCTAAATGAACACACTGCATTTCTGATCTCTGTAAGACTTACAAATAAAGCATTAGATAGAACTTTTATGTGCTACAGTCTACTAGACCAGAGGAAAGAAAGACTTACTGCTAGAATAATTTTTGCAAGTTTAAGGCTGAGCAAGTCTGAACCAATATCAACTAGTTTATACAGGGTCTTCAGGAGAACACTTCTTCTCTTAAATTTATTTCCAAGCATGTTTCCTTCCTCTAAAGCGTGATGAAGTTGTGTGCAAGCAGCACAAATCGTTTCAATGTTTTCTTCTGTCAGAGCAAAGAGAGTAAAGCGGCACTTACTAATTAAGGTCAAGTCTTCAAGTGTGTCAAACACAGTGTAAGTAAAACCCCCTAATTCTTTCCCTAAACATCTTCAAATTCCTGAACTATGTTTTTTCCCTTCTCTTGCAGTTTCCATCTACCTGTTTTTTTTTTCATCTACCTCCTACATGTTGACTTATTTACTCATCAGTCAGCTTATCTAGAACACACAGTCTTTCAAAGAGTGTATTAAAGAATAGAACTGTACCGATCCCAGGTGGCCTGCTTTACTCCCCAAACGCCCACTACTTCATGGTGCTCCCTTCAGTCTCAGGCAAACACACCACAGTGTCTCTACCTCCAGCCCTCTAGGGCGTAGTTCCACTGTCCCAGAATGTTCTCCTCTCCTTCATTCCTACTGATTTGGGTCCATCAAGGCTTTGTTTACATTCTGGCTCCTCCAGAAAAGATGTACCATTCCACATTCCAAGAACATTACTTTGTATTGTGTTATTCCTTACATATCTATGGATGCCGAGTTCCATGTCCTGTGCCCTTGCCCAGATGTCATGCTAAGTGAGGAGGAATCGTGTCTTTGTATCTTTGTATCACCAGAACATGGTTCATTGAGAATACTGTACTGACAACCTGTAACATAGTTTAATAAATACTTGTTTTATAATGTATCTGGTGACAAAAACAATGATCCATATTTTTCTGTGAGAACGATGCTCATTATCTGGGAAAAGAGGGCTCCAAGGGAACAGAAATCTCACCAGTGTCACCTCAGCCACTATTACTTGCAGGTGGTTATTACAAGAGAGGAGGATAAGAAGACTGTAGTTGGGAAAGGGGAGAACCCTAGAACATTTTATTTTATGGTGAGAATTCTGAGGACAGCCGTCTTTGAACGTGGTATCCATCCCAGTAGGCATATGAAGAAGAAAACAAGCACACAAAGCGGAACCTGAGGGGAAATCTAAGAATCCAAGTCTGAGATATTCAGTTGAAAAATATTATCTGATAGATCCCATCACAAAACTTAAAATTAGGAAACCAATCTTAAATAAATACCATAATGTGCTCTTAAAAGCCCACATAGAGGAAGTGTGCGCCTGAAGAAGGAAATGACTCAGGCCATTTTTAGCTCTTTTCAACAATAACATCTAAGAAAAAATGTTAAACCTCAATAGCTTGGTAACCTTCAATGGCTTTCGGTTATACACTTAAATAAATGAATTTTTGGGAAATGACTTAGACTCACTTTAAATAAAAGGAAAAACCTGAGCTCTATTGTAAGAACACTTTTGTTTTGTTGTTTTATTCTTCTGTTCCTGGCAGTTTCTTCACAAACCCCAAGTTCAGGCCGTGGGCCACTCTCTGGCCATGGGGAGATCTCAAGGCATTTTTCTAACACTTCCCTCTGCAAACTCTTTAGCCTGGTGGGTTCAATGAGGAGTAGCTGCCTTAGTTGAAAAGAAACTAAAAAAGGAAGTTTCATGGGTCAGATTTTAAACTGTTGATCAAATTAACTCTTTATGCCAGTCGGCTTGTTGTAAAGGCTATAGAGCCTTGAAAGACAACTTGAACTTAAGAACTTTCAAGATTCTCAGGGGGCTAAAGCTAGTGGGTGAAAGTTGGAGAAGTCATAGAAAGCAATGTAGCCTCGAAGTCGTGGCTCCCTATAAGATACTTATTAATTACAAAGAGGAAAATAGTAGCTTTAGAGTGGAAAAACCTGGACACCACCTTCCCCAAGTGATCAAAATTCACACCCCCAGTAAGAGACCAGAAGAGCATCATGAGCCTACCGCTAGGACGCACTGAGAAGGACACAGCACCACGCCTGCCGTGTACCTGCCCCAAATGCCTCATCCCAGTCTAAGTGTGAAAAAACACCAGGCCAAACTCCTTTGTGGGGGCAGTCTATAAAAGAACTGGCCTGTATTCCTCAACTGTGTCAAGATCATGAAAAGAGGACAAATAATTTGAACTTGTGATCCAGGATTTTCTTTTTCTATAAAAGGAATTTTTAGGATAACTGGCAAAACTCAATAAGGTTTGTGTAGTATGGTATGGTAGTATCCAGATATGCGACAGAATGTCCTTGCATCTTGAAATATATGTTAGAGTACTAGGGATATGGGACATCACTTGGCAATTTGTTCTTAAATGGTTCAAAAGAGGAAAAAAACAATGTTTATATATGGGTGTGTGTGTGTGTGTGTGTGTGTGTGGGTGTGTGTGTTGGGGACTACAGAGAAAATGAGAGCAAGAGGAAGAGAGAGAGGGAATAATGAAACAAATGTGGTAAAAGATTAATATTTGGAGAATCTGAGGGAAGGGCATACAGGGTTTCTTTGTACTACCCTTGACACTTTCCTCTAAGTCTGAAATTATGTCAAAATAAAAAGGAAAACAAGAAAGAAAGACCCTCAAAAGCTCAAGTAAACCCAGTCCTGCCACCATTCACTGTTCTTAAGTTGATGGGAGAGATGCCATACTTCAGGGCCCCCAATCCTCTGAGAAGGCAGATTCATCCACATTCCAGATCCCAAACTCCAGTTCCCTTTTCTCTGCTGGTGTTCTCAGAGCTCTCTTAAAGTCCTTCAGACTGAAGACTTCCTCTGGCCCAGGCCTTCATGTTGCAGGCCTTCCTCCACTAGCATATTCTCGTTTTGAACCTTTGTTCAGACTGACTGCTCTCCTCACTAGTGTTTGCACACATCTCCTAAAATAAAGGGCCCCAAGTGAAGCTGAGGGTGGAAATTAGGAACTCTAGAAGGAGAAAAGTCGTCCACTGGGGTCTTGAGCTGTGGTAACCTTAGGAGAGTAGGACACATGCATTTGGATCTAGAAAACCATGGGCACACCGCCCAAGCACGCCAGTCCATGAGATTTAGTCAAAGTTTCAGGGGCCTGAAATCTGTTTTAATCTTTCACTTTCATGTATTAACTGCCACCCTAGAGAGCTCAAACCAACATTTTCTTGGGCAGACGGAGGGTGATAGTTAATATGTATTCCATGGGGATTTTTAGAAGCAGGCTCTCCTCCTGAATTTAAAGTATAATTTTTACTCACTAAAAATTTGGTTTACCTGTATTTCTTACGTACATTAGTGGGTGAATATAGAGATAACTTCATTTGTTTCCAAACACGTTTGCAGAAATGGTAGTCAAAGTGTACTAAAAATATCAGGGCAATGGGGAACATAGAAATAAGTACAGATATTCTCAATTTAAAACAAAAACTTTTTGTGTTACCCTTTTCTAATTGGTGCAAAATTGGTACGATCCTTGTATTCCAAAAGACTTCGTCTACTTCTATTTCTGTCTCCTTTTCTTGCACGTCAGCTTTTGAGGCTGCAAAAGAAACCCAGATCAGGAGAAAGCAGTGAGTAAGGAGGTACACCGGGAGTACCACCTCAAGTCTTTGTTATTCATCACCAAAATTAATCAGCTCTGGAATTAAATTATACCTTGCCCCCTAAGCCCAACTAATTCTAATTAGAACCACTGTCTTTTAATCAAATCACCACACATCAAAATCAAGTAAGGTCATGTAAAGAAATCAGAACTTTAAACTCTCATTAGGACACTACATGATGTCTTAAGCTTTGTTAAGTGTTGGAATTTTTGTCATAAGGCAAATGATTGTTTTTGTTTTTTTAAGTAGGCTCTACGCCCAATGCGGGCCATGAACCCATGACCCAAGATCAAGGGTCACATGCTCCACTGACTGAGCCAGCCAGGTGCCCCCATAAGGCAAAGAGTTGGAGGTATTTTTTATTTAAGCTTACTACTCGGTAACGTGGAATAAATAGAAAACTATAGATATGTAAAGAATAAGAATTCTGAAAACATTCAATGAAAACTTTTCTAAAAGGAAGGCCTGCAGAGAGGCTTTCTTTCCTATAGGAAATGAAACAGACACATGATTTCAAGGCCATTGTCGGCAGCGCCAAGTGAATTTGTGAATCTCAGTCCAAATCGCAGTGTCGGATTAGATGCCTTGGTTGCCCCGGGGTCTGGCTTCTTACCCTTTCTGAGCCTCATCAGTGAAACAGAGATGAAAATCTTTGCCTGCGGGGCTCTGAGAATTAAAAGACATGATATAGGTAAAGCTCAGTTCCCAGTGTCTGGCTTCTTGTAACACTCAATAAATGTGAATTTCATCTTCCTGATTAAAAAACAACAGGCCACCGCTGTCTGACGTTCATCCGGCTGCACAATACCACTGAATCAATGAGATTAGCTGCTGCCCCGGAACGTCATAGGTCCTAGAAGAGGAATGGTTGCCACTGGCTGGGCGTTGTAAGAGGCCACGTGCTTCTACTTAACTTTTATAGCATAATGAGGAGGTCCTCAAATTGTCTCCATTTTCCAGATGAAGAAAGTGGGGTTCAGGGGCATTAAGCTACCTGCCAAGGTCATACAGAGCCATAGCCCTTGCTCTTGACCTCTGTGCTATTCCACCCCACAGCAAAATCAGTAAACTGAGAGGTGACTTTGGAAAGCAGTGTGAATCGTATTAGAAACTGCAAATCCTGATTACATTTCACACAGGAAATACCCCACTATCTAAAGCACAGACTGTGTAGCCGGAGAGTCCCCCCTCCCCCCACCCCAGTGTGGACTCTCAGGAGCAATGCTAAAGACACATTCCTCAGTTTCCCTTCTCCCTTCCGCTCCCTCCCTCCCTCCCTCCCCATAAGGCCCTCTCATGGCACCCAGTCTATACTGGTTCAGAGTCTGTACCTGCTCAGAGTGGACCTGGTACCAATCAATCAAATGCCCACCGTGGGTGCCTAGATCCCAAAATGTCCCCCAAAGAGTTAGAAATAATAGGGACAATCAGGGTTTCATAGAAAGAGGGGAAGAGAGTGAGAACAATGAAAAGGCATATGGCCTACAGATTTTTAGGTTATTTTAACTCAGGGCAGGGGCCGGGGTGGAAACCAGCTGACTAGGAAGGCCCATTAAGAGTTCTAGAGTCCTAAGTTCTAAGGTTCTAGAGTCACTGTGTGGGTTTGAATCCTAGCTCTGCTGGTTGACTGTGGGCAAGTTGCATCACTTTCCCTCTATAAAATGGGGTAACGATGGTCATCTATTAATTTCTTTTATGCGCTCCATATTTTCCAAAACCTCTCATTCATTTGTGCTACTCTTGAGAAGGAAAAAAAAAAAATACAATACATATTAAACTTCCCAAGCATACAGTGATGATATCACCCAGGAGAAGCAGGAAAGCTATGCGATTTATCCATCCCCTCCAGTGCATGGGCCCCCCTCTAACCCTCCACACTAGAAATACCCACCCCGGACCCAGGGGGCAGTGAGTCCAGGTTTGCCTTTTCTCAAACCTCCCTGGCACCAAAAGGGGTCCAGGCACACTAGGCGTGAGGAGCCCTTGAGCAGAAAAAGTAGACAGAGAGGGTATCGACAAAGCTGTAATTCAGTAGCATAGGTGTGCTGTCTATAGTTTTAATAACAAAGTTTCCCATCATTTGTCTAACCTATAAGGAAGAATTCATGAAATGCATGGGTGCATTGTCTTTAGGACAACGTCAGTCCATATCAGAACTGGTTCACAATCCCTTAGCCAAAGCCTTCGGACCAGATGTGGTTAGGGAATCCAAAAATTTTGGATTTTAATGAGGCAATAGGGTGCGCATGCTGTGTAACACACAGCACCCCGAGGAGGGTCTTCTGGGGCGGCACCCTGCGGCAGGGTATGTGCAAATTCACACGAACGAAACAAAGACGATTCTTGGCCTCCCATCAGCTGGGCTTGGGCATTGCCACTACATGAGTCTGAAAAACACTTCAGCTTTCCAAGGCTTCCCAAGCTTCAGTTTGGGGATTTCAGAACCGCAGATGATGGATGGGAGAACATCATCTCAATCTTTTGGGTCATTACTTTTATGAGTCTACCCTAACTTTGATAAATTATAGGTATGGACTCAAAAAGTAAACCTGAATATTCAAGCAACCCTAACCCATAGCTAGTCATAGTCCCAAGTACATGACCAAGTCCAGAACATGTGAGTATCGTCAGCATATATCAAGGCAAGTGAAAAGCCAGTAGATAGTAAGTCAGATAAATAACTTAATCACCCAATATTTACAGCACACTTAACATTTACTAGAAATACAGACTCCAAGTCCAATAAGTTCAAATCAGCATTTTTACCTTCTAAGCAGTATGCACTTTAATAGAACAGCTCTATGAGGAACAATGATTATCAATCTGTTTCTTAGGGCAAACAAAATCAATAATGCGCTCACCCCGGGAAAAGTGAAATTACAGGGATGAGCCAGAAATCATAGAACACTTATTTAACCTTGGCAAAGGAAAGGCCCTTACAGGCCCTTCTGAATGGTCCTAAGATTGTTCCTTCTCAGAGCAGAAGTCAGCCAGACACTGCGGCGTAAGGGTTCCCTTTCAACCCACCCCCAAGAACTGCATGGCAAGTGGCTGTGTCCAGCCATGACCTTTCCACGTCTCCACCCACTCAGGCACCCCCTCCAATGCTGCTTTCTGCAGAAATCCCATTTTATATAACTAGACCACTCTCCACTCCAGCAACTGGAGCATGGAATCCTGTGATTACTCCTGAAAATCTACAAAAACTAAATAAAGTTTGCCTCAGTCTTGGGCAACAACCTAATATTTTAGAAAGCACTTTCATCTAGGTTCACAGTTTGCTAAATATAAAAATTATGATTCAACAGGAAATTGGGTAAGTCAAGCAGAAATTTCAGCATGTTTTTGACGATTTTGCTGTCTCAGTGGTTATAGTTTTTAACCACAGCTTTGAGTTCTGGACACAAAAACTTGACACAATGTTTATTGGCTGATGTTTTTAGCAAGTGCATGTAAAATCCTTAGCAACAATGCTGATGCGGAAATCAGTCTAAGATTTTCCTGAGTGTTACAGAAACTCCTATTGGCCACAGAAGTCATTTTAGTGATAAGAAATTAGTTTTGAAAGTAATAAAACATTTTTTCAATCTGATTTTAGTCTGGTTTTATAGAATGTCATGTGTGTAAAAAAAAAAAGTGTGAAAAAGTAACAAACACCTGTGTGTCCACAAATAGTTTGGTCAAATACTAATGGTATTTTTATCCTCCCCTTTATTTCGAAGAAATAAACATTACAGATATAGTCGCCTCCCCCTATCCATTTCCCCTCCTCCCCTCCCTCCAAGGATTACCACCATTCTAAATCAGGTGGTTATTTTTATCATGTTGGATTTTACATGTCACCACATAGATCTGTATCCATAAACAACATATGTCACTGTTTCTGCAACTTAACATTTTCACGTAATATTGTTTGTACTCATTTCAGTCGATATTATAAGCGTGACTGCTATATTTCATTGCATGAATACACGCTGCCTCATTTCTAGCCTGTGATTAATACTCTTATATATATTTTTTTCTCAAACAGATTGAAGACCCCCAAAGGCTGTCTTCACACCGTTAATATAGCTTCACTTAAGTGAGCAATGATTTTGAACTTCTGGTTAACTCAAGAATTACGTTACTGTCAACTTTTGCAACTTTCTGAATGCTTTCACAAAATAGTTTCTTTCACGCTCACTAAGACCAGGATCTATAAATGTCTGAGGCCCCAAAGCTGGATAATGGTAAGAATATTAAGATTGTTGTGAAAACAGTAAAAATTTCTAAAACTAAATGTTGATGCGTGGCCAAGTTGGAAGAAGTGACTGGAGTTTTCAAACAGTGAGCCGGTATGAGACATCTTGAGTGCAAATGTTTTTCTTACAAGTGGAGATGCTGAAGGTGAAGTTCTGGGGCTGAAGGTGAAGTTCTGGGGCCTCGCGGCGTATGTGCACCTCACCTGCTCTGGTTTCCAGTCGGCTCAGGTCTGAGCTGTTGAAACAAGATGAGGCTCTTGAACGCCTCTTCCCCTGGTCCCTAGGAGGAAGAGGAATACAACAATGTTCAGCATAAAAACCAGAACGTTTCTCTTTCTGCGAGTAGAGTCAGCTATTGGCAGATTGGGAAGAAAGCACAGAGGGTTGCTTAGAAGATGGAGTTTCACACTCTGCAGTCCTTTAATCATCTGATTTCCAGCTTAGATTTATCTATCAAAAAACAAGACAGAGGGGCGCCTGGGTGGCTCAGTGGGTTAAGCCTCTGCCTTCGGCTTGGGTCCTGATCTCAGGGTCCTGGGATCGAGCCCCACATCGGGCTCTCTGTTCAGCAGGGAGCTTGCTTCCTCCTCTCTCTCTCTCTCTCTCTGCCTGCCTCTCTGCCTACTTGTGATTTCTGTCTGTCAAATAAATAAAATCTTTAAAAAAAAAAAGACAGAGAGGCTTCATAGTATTAAATACAGTTACTAGAAACAACAACAATGAACAAATCCCAAAGTTACTTTGTAAATCCAAACAAAACAAAACAAAACAAAACAAAACAAACAAACAAAAAAAACCCCCAAAACCAAACAAACTGATGAAGGATATATACCACAAGAGGTCACTGTTACAATAAGAAAGAACTCAGGTCTGCCGGCCCCACAAAAGACTAGCATTTAAGAGCTGGAAGGGACCTTTTCTCTCGGTCTCCCTGTGCAAGGAAGTCATTCCCAAATTGGTCGGATGTGCCCCAGGTCACAAACCAGCATCAGATCTGGAGCCCCGATCTCACAATTTCCAATTCACAGCTCTTTCTACTTTGTCACAGAGTGCCCTGTTTCCACTTTAAAAAATGCATTCAGTTAATATTCTTTGAAAAATGCCTTATTTTTCCAAATAATTTTTAAATGTGAAAAAATCGAAGGTAAATTCAGGCAGCCTCCAGATGACAAATATTTTGTGTTCCAAATAAAAGAGTAGCGGTTGGCCAATAGTAGGATTATATTGCCAGGTTGGTTTGGATTTTTGTTTTGTTTTGTTTTTAAGGTTTTCTTTAATGTAGAGACTGTCCAGGAAGGATACAACTTTCCTTTAACTACAGCTGACACTTAAAAGTACTTACATTTAAATACCTACACACAATTCCAAAGTAAAAAACACTGAGTGCAAGTTTTACAACATATTTTTGTCATCAAATAAAAGATTTGCTACAACAAAATCATAAAGAATGCATATACATGGGGCCAGGGTCACTCACAAACACCCACATGTGTGGCTTCCACACTTGCGCCAATGCAGTAAGAGACTGGGGAAAGGCTCAGTGTTGTGTCTTGGCGCTTGGCTTGTACTGCTGCCCAAGGATTAGCTTCTCCAAACACCATTTTTTCCCATAAACATGCCCCCCTTTTAAACACTTGATTTAACACTTCATATCATTTAGTAGAGAAAAGATCAAGCTAATCTTTCCCAAAATGTGTAATTATTTCATACTATGAAACAATTGCCTTATTTTTACACAATGTAAAAAACATAAATCTGGTACCAAGGGGTTCCTGGCCAATCAAAGAAAGAGTATGTGGATGGGATCTACTGCATCAACGCTCTCAGAGTTGAGATTCAAAAGGAACAGATCTAATCTACCCTATGAGAAGGTAAAATACCAAGTCTGACAGGGTGTGAAGCCAAGGAAGTTCTCTCACTTCTCACTCCTAGATATAATAAGAAAGTCAGAACAATAGAGGCAAGGCCTTCTTTTCATTATTGTCCTAAATAACTATTGAAACCCAGCAAGCTAGTTTTCAATTCATGGCTTTCTAAAGTCACTGGGCCACTCTCTCGGAGTCACGGATGTTGATGAGGTTGCCTCCCTATTTAACACATTTGTGTATCCCAATTATGGGAAGGGGTAAAAAAAAAAAAAAAAGGAAGAAAGGAAGAAAGACGAAGGGTCCTTCTTAGTATATACCAAAGTTCGGCAGTGCCGGGTCCTGCTGGTTCTCAAGAAGAGCGCAGGACTGGGATCTACGAACACTCGCTATGATCATCTTTGTACAGTTGTTGAACTTGTAAGCTCTGAACCCAAACTACCAGGTCCTGGGCCAACATTTATCAGCTGTGTCGATTTGGGCAACTTACTTAAGCCTTTGGCCTTGGTCTTATGTTGACATAAGGGCAATGCCTCTCCTTAGTACAGTGACTGGTACCTTTGAAAAAGTTCATAGTCAATATTGGTTTTTTCTTTTGTTCTGAATCAACAAGAACCTGTCTGAATAGTCCAGGGCTGGATGCTGTTGTGATAAAGAATGTACAAAGTGTTGCCCTGAAGGAGTCTAAAAGCTACTTTGGGGAGCTCAGCAACTTCTTAAAATGGAAAGTTCCAAGGAAGTCTCTAATCAAGGGCTAGATCGTGAAAGCCAGCAGGTTACAGGAACTAGAGGGATGCTGAGAAGGAAGTGATGAGTGAGAGGGAGAAACAGGCCACAGAGTAGGTCTTAAAAGAGTAAAAAGCGTGGTCCCGCAAGCGACAGCACAACCCTCAGGAGGGGAGGATCACGAGTGAAGGCAAAGAGGAATGTGAGCAGCCTGAGACTCGGGGCAGGGGATAACTGCACGGGGCCAGCAAGGTAGGAATAGGAGATTTCTGCTGGGACACGTGGGAACCGTTGCCCGCAACTCGGGGGAGGCGATGGCCCCATCAGATGGGCAATGAGGAGCGGTCATAGGTTCTAAAACAGGAGGTAATGGGCTCTGGAGTTGTGACAAGAGCATTTAGGAGACTTGGAAGCACGTAACAAGAACTAATTCTTGGGGGTGCCAATAGGACTAGAGAAAAAGGAAAAATTGAAGAGATCTTGCAAATGAACAGTTGACAGGATGAGTGGTTGATTTCAGGCAGAAGAAAGAGCAGAAGGTAGACCTGGAGGAACAGGAGAGCAGGGTTGCCATCAACAGAAATGGGAAGGTTAGGGAGTAGAACAGTTTGAGGAGTGAAGCACGGGCAATGTCTGCCATATTGAGTTTCGAATGAAAAATGGAGGATTGGCAAAGGAGATGTGGAAATCAGGGAAAGAGCGCTGTTAGAGATCCAAGTGGTACACAGGGACTGGAGTCATCAGGTTTGTGGCTGAAAAGACCAGAATCTCTGGCCCAAGCCTTGTTAGATGTTCATGTAAAGGATAGAAAAGGGGGAAAGAAGTCCAAAGGAAGAGGAGAAATAAAATATATTCTCACAGAGCCCAAGCTTGCTGAGAAGGCAAGCATGATTAACAGGTCAAAGACTGTTAAGAACACTGAGGAAGAACTATCTCCCTGACCAGAGTAAGCCCCACAAGGCCGTTTGGGAAGCAGGACAGCTGAAGTCCCACAACCAGAGTGAGGTGGGGAGAGAGGCATCAAGAAAAGAAAATCCCCTCTCTGCCAAAGAAGAGAACAGATGCACTTACAGTTAATGGAAATCTGTTCTCCCGTACTTCTACCCCCAAGAACCTTCTCAGTTCTCTGTACTAATTGAAGCCACAGGAAACAAAGATTTATCCTCCTTCTTCTCAGTAATTCTCCATATACTTAAAAATGTGGTGTTCACCACTTAACGTCCTCTCCTAGGGCTTAAATCCCATGGTTTTATTAGCTACGTTATCAGCTAATTATGATTGCAGTTATTAGCTGTGTGACTTCATGCCTGTTTTTCACCTAAGCTTTGGTTTCCTCACTTACATCTGAGGGGGTGGTAAATTCTAGTAACCAGCTCTATACGGCTGTTGTGAGGATCAAACGATAAAATGTGGACTTGCTAGCAGAATTCCAGGTACCTAGTAAGTACTCAGTAAGGGTTTATTATCATTGCCGGTGTCATCACTGATGTCACCGACAAACTTCTCCTGTCCCTTCTACTCCTCCTCCTAGGATGTGGTTTCAGATCTCTTTGTCAGCCTGTTCAGTCACTCTGAGCGAGTGTCACTCTGTCTGGATCCCTTTTAAAGTCTGGAACCCAACACCGAGCTAAAGGTATGGCTGAGGAACAGTGAAGAGAGATTCAGAATAATGCAGCCTAAGACTACGTTAGTGGTTTTGGTGGTCACATCACAACATTAGTCAATTCTTGTTTTTTCTTTCATGCGCAGCTAAGGCAGATTTCCCCCATCCATAGTGGACTCATTAAATTTCACAGTGTTATATTTGGCAAAGGGTTCCTGTCTATCAGACATGTCTAGATCTGGATTCAGTCATCCAATATAATTCTTCTTCCCAGCTTCCTGTTCCAAATTGTCAGAGACCATAATTAATTTTTGTGCCATGATTTTTGATGTCCAATGATAAAATAATTCCAGAAATTATTCTTTAAAGCTCTTTTCTGAACTTCTTCTTAGAGGCAGAATAACACCATTTAATTAGTTAGGGTATCTTCATCTACAAATAACAACAAAAAAAATTCTAACAGACTTAACCAGTAAATGAAATGTATTGGCTCATATAACCTAAAAGTCGAACACTAGGGTGGATTTTAGGTATAGTGTGATCAGGGAGTCGGCTCCATCTTTCTGTAATTCTCTCAGTTCTGCCCTTCTTTCAGTTCAGGTGGGATCACTGAAGACGGCAAGATGGCTATGGCATTCCCAGGTCCCTGATCTATTGCCAACATGTTTCCGAGCAAAAGCAACGTCTTCTCTTCCCAATTACTTACAGGAGTCCTACATTTCACTGAATTACCAGAACCAAGCTCTCTAGCCAGGCAATGCCCTACACAGACTGACTGAGTCACTAGTGCTCATCCACCACTCAGTCCTATAGGCAACGTCTAATTCTGGACCATATATACACCGAAGACATAAAGTATATTTCTTTTAAAACATTCAAAACTCAGATTTTGCTATTTAGACAGTTTTTCCAAGTATAATGATTAAGTCAGAGGTCAGCAAACTTTTTCTTAAAAAGCCAGACAATATATGTTTTATATTTCTCAGGCCGAATGGCAAAATGGAGGCTACCATGTAGGTACTTCTGTAACCATTTAAATGTAATGACTTGGGGCACCTGGGTGGCTCAGTCGTTAAGTGTCTACCT